GGACAGCTTGAGGCTCTGTCTCAAAAAGAAAAAGAGGATCTTTCCTCAAAAGCCAGCACATAAAGCAGACAAACACTGTGCCTCCCCACTTGTGCCCACATACCACCCTCCAGTCCTACCAGACTCCTCACTGGGCCCAAAGGAGTTGCTGAGATTCCAAAGAGCACAGTTGGAAAGGACCAGAGATTCCTTCTGTCAAGGAATTCTATGATAGAGGTCAAGAGCCCAGTCTCTAGAGCGAGGCAGCCTCGATTAGGGTTCAGCTCTGCCACTCAGTAGTGGGGTGACCTTGAACAATTTGCTTAGATTCTCTGTGCCTCAGTTTCCTCACTTGTGAACTAGGGAGGGTGAGAGAACCTACTTCATGGGCTTATTAGGAAGATTGAATAATTCTTGTCAGGTGGTTTGTGCCTTGCACATGGGGAGTATTGTCAACCTTGATTGTTATTAAGGAATCTGTGATTCGGTTATTTGGAGTCTCAGGAAGCTTTGTGCTTCTCCAGGCAGCTCATTTTCATGTTCTGACGATTTTTTACAGTGAGCTAAAAGTCTGTCACTCCCTTTCTTCTAATCTTCAGGGTGAAAAACATACCTCTCCACCAGTATGTCTTGTCTCTTCCTCCCCTGCCCCTCTGACTGCAGCCTACCAGCCTGGGTCCTGAGCTCCTATCTGCTGTCCCTGTGCCTGGAGTCCCCTTTCTGCCCCAGCCTTCTGTCCTCAGGCATGTTTCTCAGGATGTGTCCTCAGACCCCATAGCTTTGGGATGTCTCTTGCTGGCCCTGCTACCTCACCCTGTGGTTACTTCCCTGTACTGTGGCTGGTAACGCAAAACCCAAAACCCCAGTGTGCCTTTTACCCACTGCACCTGACTGCTTGGAGAGCAGATACTCTGTCTCCACAGCCTGGCCTACTGACTCTTCTTTTCCCTTTCATATGGCAGTTTTGAGATAGCCAGAGACCCTTTCGTTTAAAATAAAAATTAAATTTTTAATTGTAGAAAAAGACATATAACATAAAACGTACAGTCTTTGCCATTTTTTTTTTTTTTTTGAGACGGAGCCTCAAGCTATCCCCCTGGGTAGGGTGCCATGGCATCACGCTCACAGCAACCTCCAACTCCTGGGCTCAAGCTAGTCTCCTGCCTCAGCCTCCCAAGTAGCTGGG